TTTTATACTGTACAAACTGTATTTTCTATTGCCCTACACCAACCCTACACCTAAACCTACCCCTCACAGAAAACATTGTGCATTTTTACAATCTCAAAAAAACTCATTCTGTATGATTTATAAGCTTCTGTACCCATTGACACAAGTTCCCATGAGTTGGTGTGTATTTAGGTTTAAGTCCCCACCAGTGTAGAAAAACCTGTACACACACACACACACACATATGTGCTTCATTTGATTAAAACACACACTCACATAGACCAAAACAAATGCCTTTCCTCACACACTTCACCCAAAAAGCACTGCCCTGTGTTTATAGAAGTGGACTGCTGTGTTTATAAGGAAGGAGGTTCAGCAGAAAGTAGAAACAGCCCATTGTGTGTATGTCTTCTACCTGGATGAAGTCATTGGTACACTATTTCCTTTGATAGGAAGTGAAACTCTTCCTTTCCCTGACCTCTGCAGCACATTTAACCATTTACTCATTTATATCTATATATTCAGTCAGATGAGATGCACTACAGTTCAAAAGTTTGGGGTGGATAAGATTTTGGAATATTTTTTAAAAGAAAAATCTTATGCTCACCAAGCCTGCATTTATTTGATAAAAAATATAGTAAAAACAGTAATTTGTGAAATATTACTACAATTTAAAACAATCTATTAATAATATTTTATATATTTTATAATGTAATTTATTCCTGTGAGAGCAGAGCTGAATTTTCAGCTGCCATTACTCCAGTCTTCAGTGTCACATGATTCTTCAGAAATGTTTCTAACATGTTGATTTTTGTATTTCTTTCACAAAATAAATCTTACTGTACCCAAACTTTTTCAGCGGTATATGAGTCATATGTATTTCATCAGTCTATTCTGTGACACATTAAAAGACACAGTGGGTTGGCTTATGCAATGCTGTTTATATGTGGACAGATCTGGTTTGTGCCCTGTCTTGTTTTCTTTATGGTCTGGACTGTGGTAGATCAGATGGTCTATGATCTGTGGTGTTTTCATGACGAGTCTTTATAGACCAGCTGTGTGGTTGTCTTAATTCTGTCTTTTGTTTTTCAGAGGGAAGGTTCCTCTGAAGGATCTGGAGAACATGTTCCCTAGTATGAGTGGAGACTTCACTAGTGAGAATTTCTCTGCCACCTGGTATCTCATCGAGAACCATTCTTCAACCAGGTCGGTCTATATACCATCCATCTGTACATTTGTTAATCTGCCAAAATAGATTTTTGTGTGATGTGTGTTATGTTTGTTGCTGTTTTAGCTTTGAGCAACTGCGTGCGGCTGTGGGAAATCTTAAGAAACAGGCCAGTAAGAAGAATGAGGGCAGTCTAGCCTACGTGAAAGGAGGTCTCAGCACTTTCTTTGAGGCTCAGGATGCTCTTGCAGGTACGTGTGCTTGGTGTGTACATTTAAACACATATACACACAGCCATAAGTAATTCAGTTCTTGCATTTGACTGAAGGAAACAGAAGCATATTTTAGGGAAACAGAATATTGTGCTGGAAGTAATATAGGGTGGGACTGGATTGTAACCATGAGGATTTTGTTGCCTTTAGGTCATGTTGGAATGATTATGTTGAAATTACTCATCCCGTAAATACAATGTTGTAATGACCATTGGGAAGCTCAGGATTTCTTTTGAGTTCCACTTTTTGAGTCGATTTGAATTAAAGACTGGAAGCAAATTGGAATTGATTATGGTATAATCAGTTTAATTTGTGAATATTGATTGTACAGTATGTTTTGTTTTTTTTACTTTTTGAATATTTTCTGTGGACTTCTGGTGAAGAATTGTTAAGCTTGCCAGAAAATTTTATGACACTACCAAAACATCAGTGTAAAATTATGATTTAAATTACATACCGTTTTTTCAGCTATCTTGGAAGTCCTCTGAGAAATGTAATCTTGTTCTGATAGAAACGTTCATGATTGTGATAAATTTTTTTCCCACAAAGTGTATAATTTAAAAAGTTTTTTTGACCTTCATTGAATAACTCATTGGGTTGGTTCCTATATTAAGTATTAAAAGTAAAGCTCAAATAGACAATATGAATGCTAATATGGATGCATTTAACAAAATTAGTTGCATGGGCCTTTTATTCAAGTTTCTTTCACTTCTTACGTCATTGTACACAGGTGTATGTGTCTCTACTCAGACTGCCGTCAACAGAGGTCAATGTCACTGTGCAGATTCTATTTTTCAAATCTGTCTGTGTGTGTTGGATTTGTCTCGGGTCACTTGTCTGAAGTCAAACAGAAGAACTATTCTTAGCACTGCGTGTCCATGTGATTGACATGCATGGGGACGGATAACAAGGCGTGGTTGTCATAATGTTTAGATGAGGTTGTAATAAGGTTGTCATTGTGCTGAGAGGAAACGAGAGAGCAGCAAACGCAAGCTGCACTGATTCCCAGAGAAGACTCCCAAAACTTACCAGGCAGAAGTCAAAACATACCTCAGAGACAGAGGAAGTGTACCACACAGCATTCCGGACCCTGGGGGGAGCCGGAGGTTAGCCCTGACGTCATTGTGTACAGAAGTATCCCAAATCCAGATGTGGAGAGAGAAAAGTGACTTGGTTAGTTAGAATTAGTTTTTTTGTGCAAAGGTTTATCTTCCAATTTAGGCACTCTATAGCATATATCTATATATATATATATGCTTTTATTTATATATATATATATATATATGCATATATATGCTATAGATTGCATGGCCTTAAAAAGTCTTAAAATGTCTCAAATTCAGTTTGATCAAATTTAAGGTCATAAAAATTCTTAAAGTGTCACGCGGGATCTGTTTCCTACGTTGTTGTGATTTGATCTGAACGAAAACAGCGTATCCGTGTGACGCAGCTGACACAGAACAGCATACGCTGTTTACGTCCAGCTGATACTCTCCAAAATGGCGCTAGGGTGATGTGGAGGAGACGAATTGTTGAATAAAGTCGTTTCTTTTTTTTTCTTTTTTTTGCGCACAAAAAGTATTATCGTAGCTTTGTAAAATTACGGTTGAACCACTGATGTCGCATGGATTATTTTACCTCCTTGCTACGTCTCTGGACTTGGGAACATTTCAGTTGCATTGCTGTCTATGCAGTCAGACAGCTCTCAGATTCCATCAAAAATATCTTAATTTGTGTTCCAAAGATGAACGAATGTCTTACGGGTTTGAAACGACATGAGGGTGAGTAATTGATGACAGAATTTTCATTTTTGGGTGAACTATCCCTTTAAATATCTTAAATGGTATAACACAATTCGTAATTATCATTTAGGAGATCTTAAATTTGGGGCAGAAAAACAGGAATTACGGTACGGTCTAATGTGATTATTATACTTCAAAAGGCTGTGATTAAACAAATGTGAGTAACACATTTTCAACACATTGAAATTCAATACACAGCACTGTTGCACGTTCTACAGGCTCGCGGTTTCAGAGCAGTTCGCAATCAGTGAATACCGCACGTTTATACCAAGTGATTGTATATGGTCCGCTGTTGATGAATTATGACAGTGTTTACATTATGGGGTTTATATTGTAAAATGTTGTAGGTGGTTGTAAGAGTTCATATTTTATTTGCAAGTTGTAATAGTAATGCACAGACAATTCAAAAGAAGAGTATATTTTGGGATTGTTTATAATTAAAACTCTTGCATTATTCACAAAATCTTGATTATTGTTTTTATTTGTATTTTGGTTACACAATAAGCTGTATCCAGCACTTAATTCAACATAAACTCTTGTAGCTTCTCTTTGGGCCACCCTGTCACAGTAAGGAAAGACTAGGAACATTATTTAACACATTCAGTAAATAGATTTCTTGTTAATCCATTATTATCACATCAGCAAAATCTAATATTGGTTGACCTCTAATTCATATGTATTGTTATATTAGTAGTACACAAACCAATTTCAATACACATGTATATATTGGAATAAAACATGTCTTGAATATTTAAATTTTGCAGTTACCCTGTTTTGCTGATAAGCAGCATTAAGTTTTCATTGAATGTGCGCAGCCTTTTTAATCAAGTAAAAAAAAATGAAATACATAATTTGTTTTGAGATTGTATAGGTGTGTTCTGTATGGACATATAGTATAAATTTGTGCAGATCTTAAAAAGTCTTGTATTTGATTTCAAAATCTCTGCATATACCCTGTGTTTGTTAAGACAGTGTAATAGAAAGTTCAAAAGCATTTATTTGAAATATAAATCTTTTGTAACATTATAAATGTCTTTACTATCACCTTTGATCAATTTATTGCGTCATTGCTGAATAAAGGTATTCATTTATGACCCAAAATTTTAAACAGTAGTGGAAATGCTCTCTAACATGACTTTTTTTCCTTTCTCTCACTGTCTTTGTCTAGCTATCCATCAGAAGCTTGAATCGGACGGCACTGAGAAGGTGGAAGGCTCTATGACCCAGAGACTAGAGAACGTCCTAAACAGTAAGACATAAAACCAAACACATGCTCAAAATCACACACGATTGCACAAAGCAGTTAAATTTAGATTCAGAGTTGCATATGCATTCTCTTTAGACCATCAAAGCCACACATTTCACACAGACCTCGGCGTGTTTCTGTGAGTGCGTCTGCGTGTGTTCGAGACCACTCATATCCCAATCATATCTCAATGTCAATTCTCTCATGTGACGGTAGGTCAATAAACATGCTCATTTCCTGCGGGCCGCACAAATAAACCAGTCACACACTGATATGCTTTCATTGCCAACCCCTCCTTATCCTTCTCACCATCCATCTTTACAAGTACATTTAGATGTATGTTCTTACCAAAGCCACTTACTGCCTTTGACTCTCAGCCAATCACAAAAGGGCTCAATAGTGGAAAAAAGGCTGGTCGGACTTTTATAGTTGTCAGGGGGCTGGTTCTTATTAAATCTGACCAAGGGATTCCAGAATAGCCGACCACCCAAGAAGAGGGAGCATAAGAGATCTTGAATTTATTTCAAACCGAGCAAGGATGATTAAACCACTTTTTATCAGCTGTTGTCCTTCTACACCCTTTTCTCATCTCTTTCCATTTGCTCATTCCTCTCAGGAGCAAGTGAAACTGCTGACACCCTGTTTCAAGAAGTGTTGGGCAGAAAGGACAAGGCCGACTCCACACGCAATGCTCTCAATGTCCTCCAGAGATTCAAATTTCTGTTTAACCTGCCACTCAACATTGAGCGCAACATCCAGAAGGTGGCATCCCCCATGCATACATACATGCCGTTTTTCACCGTACCGTTCAACAGTTTGGGTACAGGGATGTTTGGAATATTTATTTAATTCATATATTTATTCAGCAAGGACACATTCAATTGATCAAAATGGACAGTAAAGACTTTTACATTGTTGCAAAAAAAAATTCTAATAAATGCTGTACTTTTGAACCTTCTGTTTATCAAAGAATCTATGTATCACAGTTTCCACAAAAATATTAAGCAGCACAACTGTTTTCAATATTGATAATAATAATTTAAAAAAAGTTTGTTTCTTGAATACTAAATTCAGCATATTAGAATGATTTCTGAAGAATATGACACTGAAGACTGAAGTAATGGCTGCTGAAGATAGTAATCAATTCAATTTGAAAATATATTTAAATAGAAAACAGTTCTTTTAAATTGTAATAATTTTATCACAATATTTCATAATTATTATAAAGTATTTTTGATCAGAAAACTGCAGCAGAAGTGACTTCTTTTAAAAACATTGCAAAATCTTACCATCCCAAAACTTTTGAACGGTAGTATATACACTTTATGATAAATAAAAATGATCTCTGAATGCTAAACTGACTGTGTGTATGTGTATGATTTCCTTCCAGGGTGATTACGACATTGTTATAAATGATTATGAGAAAGCCAAATCTCTGTTTGGGAACACAGAGGTCCCTGTCTTTAAGAAAGGTGATCTGATCTTCACTGATAATAATTGATAACATATGTTAATATGACACACATACATTCACATTACTTGGAGTACTGTGTAAATGTTAAGAAAGATCGTCTGCATATATGTTTGTAGTGTATTCGGAGGTGGAGACGCGGATAGAAGCCCTGAGGAAACTGCTTTTGGATAAACTTCTGGAGACGCCATCCACTCTACATGATCAGAAACGCTATATCAGGTGTGTTAAGCTCACGTTATTCATCACCTGTGACAGGGGTTTTCATGCTTTTTGATGCCAGGGACCTTCAAATATGAAAAAAGTCAAGTAAAAAGACCCGTACTGTGTGAGAAATCAACTCAAAAATGTTCATTTTTAATTATAAATATTGATTTTTATTATAACATTCACTACCGTTCAAATGGTTTGCATGTTTCCAAAAGAAGTGCTTATCAAGGCTGAATTTATTTGATCAAAACATTTATACAGTAAAAACAGTAATATTGAGAAATATTATTACAATTTAATTTTTTTATTGTTTTTGAATATATTTTTTTAATGTAATTTATTCCTATGATGGCAAAGTTGAATTCTCAGCAGGCATTACTCCAGTCTTCAGTGTTACATGGTCCTGCAGAGATCATTCTAATATGCTGATTTGCTGCTCAAGAAGCATTTCTTGTTATCACATATTTTTGTGGAAACTGTGAAACATTTTTTTCAAGATTCTTTGATGAATAGAAGTTTATAAGAAAAGCATTTATTTTAAACAGATTTTTTTCTAACAGTTTTTCCTGTCACTTTTGATCAACTTAATGTATCCTTCCTGAATAAAAGTATTAATTTCTTACTGACCCCAAGCCTTTGAGTGGTAGTGTAAATTATTTATATTTAATTATTTATTTTAAGTAATTACATGACCTGTCATTGTGAGAGGGGTTTAAGGGGTCCTGAAAAAGGACGTGATTATATTGATCTAATGATTCTCTCTCTCTTTTTACTCAAGATACCTGTCGGATCTACATGCTCCAGGTGACCCAGCATGGCAATGTATAGTCGCTCAACACAAGTGGATTCTGCAGCTGATGCAAAACTGTAAAGAAGATTTGATCAAAGAGCAGAAAGGTATACACACATGCAGATAGTTTGAAATAAATTGATGGTTCCTCTACAGCTCCGAAGAGTGAAAGCAGTGTGTGTGTTCTGCCCTGTGTGTGCTTGTTTAGATAGAGAGCAGCCCGTGTGTGGTCTGGTCATGACCCTATAGAGAACAGGAAGTCCACAGAGCTCTATAGTGTGGCAGAGCT